TGGACCCTGGTGGCCAGTGCACATCATAGCAACCGGTCGACCAGTCATTCAGTCGCTTAGGCTTTTATATATATAAACTAGAAGCCCAGCACGTGAAATCGCGAGGCCACGCCCATCCATGCCAGTCTTTGGTCCTTACAGCATTAGGGCCACAGGACTTTTATAATATAGATGGCATGAGGTCATATCTTGTCAAAATGTAAGCAGAGTTTTTCTGTGTATATTGCATTCGTGGAAACAGTATTTGTTTCTTTTCTCTAATTCTAAATATTTTCTGGTGAATAGTACATGGTAAGTATTTCTGCCTGAAGAGTTTTTTTAAAGTATATTTTTATTGATTTCAGAGAGGAAGGAAGAAAGAGAGAGAGACAGAAACATCAACAATGAGAGAGGATAATTGATCAGCTGCCTCCTGCATGTTCCTTACTGGGGATCGAGCCCGCAAACCGGGCATGTGCCTCTGACTGGAATCGAACCTGGGACCCTTCAGTCTGTAGGCTGGTGCTCTATCCACTGAGTCAAACCAGCTTGGGCTACCTCAAGAGTTTTAATTTTTATAATAAAAGCTTATGAATATACAGGTACTGATTTACCCTTTCACTTTAATCCCTGCATCTTTTACTGAAAACAGATTATTTGGCTAAATGCTGATTTACAAATCAGAAATTGCTCTATTGACTACACAGAATGCTGAGAACTCAACACCACCTAGCAGACTATCATTTTACACTAAATGTCCCTGGATTATACTGTAAACATGGGAATATCTACAAACTCACAACTACTTTCACTCTGTCAACCAATTTTCTCTGAATATTTTTATCTTTCCACTTCCTCATTCTAATTTTCCTAAATCTGTCTTCCTATCCTCTTCCTCCTATTTTAGCTTTTTATTTCAAACTTCATCATTGGCATTTACTAAAGAGCCAATTTAAATTATAAAATGAAGGCTAGGCTACACTAATTGTTAATATTATATATATGATTATAATAGTGAAGTAATTAGTCAGGACATTGTACAAGCTTCATTAATCAGCTGTACATAGAATATTTAAATTGAATGGTATAGGAAAATCTGCTATATTCCAGGGTAATCTTTTCAGCATTAGTTTAAATATAGCAGATATATTTATCCCACATCTCTTATTTGCATTTGAAAACATATGTGACTGGTAATTCTGTATTTTGAATTCTGAAGATTTCTTCAGCCCATTTCCCCACCTCCACTATTGCTCCAACTAAAGTCCTCTAGCTAGCTTAGTATGGCAGGTCTATATTTAATGCAAGCACTAAGATTTTTTTATTGATCTCTCTCTTAAGGAAGCACTTTATAATTTTTCTGTGTAAATTAAGCTTCTACCCTAAAATATTACAAGTATTGTTTCTCATTTCATTTTTAAGCTCCTAGTCAACCCTCATTATGATTCATTCAAGAGGGAACAAACCAATCAAACTTTGTAGTATTGTTGGCAACAGGATAGTTCCTGTAGTTGTGAATATATCCCATGTAGCAATTTCCTCCATCTATTTTTAAAATAATCTAAAAATGACTGTAGTAGACTTTAATGTGTCCCCTGTTATACACTCAGAATTCATTGTTTTAATAAACAAAATATTACTGAATACCTTATATGTACAAAAGCCCAAGGTTTACCATTTGACAATTTTTAAATATTTATTCTCTGCTCATACAACTTTCTGATGATTCTTTTGATATACATGGTAGGAGTTATAGTTAACCTGAGCCACTTGTGTGATATCTATTTTTAACAACTAATTCTAAGTCAATTGTAGGAGTCAGAGAGGAAACTAAAGACTGAGGAAGTACTGTATTTCCTAAACATCAAAAGGTGAAAGTTCAAAAGTATCTTTAAACAAAGATAAATGAAACACGACATTGTAAGAGAAAAAAAAACATAATATAAAAATTATTTTTATAGTTATATGAAATAATGTGAACAGGTACATTTTCTAGATGTAATGCTGATTGACATAGATAAATGCTACCCCTTAATGTTTTTGCTATACTTAGTTTTTTTTCCTTTTTTTTTCTTTCTTTCTTTAATTTTTCCCCTTAAGTGCTCACCCTGGTTTTCCAATAGATTCTAAGACCTGCAAAGAGAGGGGTCAATTTCGTTGTTGTCATTCTTCTTTCTTCTAAAATAGTGGCAGTATGGCAAATAGGGACATAGAATTTGAGTAAGAATTTCATTTCCAATATTCCTAAATATTTGTCCTTGAGTTGGCTGTCTAACCTTAAAGAGCCTTAGTTTCATCATCTGCAAAAATTTGGGTAATAAAATCTATCTTGTAGCATTGTTGTGAGGATTAGAAATGATGTTTACAAAATCCTAATCAAGGATCAGGTACTCAAAAATAGTCGTTTTTACTATAATTATAGTTGTCTGCAACTTCCCATACATAAAGCCTGTTATATCTCCATACACTAGGTACTCAGAGAATCTCAAAATGATGGCCTTACTTCCTTCCATATGAAAACATGTTAATGGAGTCATGGGATTATAGGCATACATTTCACTCATTTTTAATTTTTTTTTTTTAGTTTATTGAATTGAGAGAGAGAGAGAGAAATATCTATTTGTTGTTCCACTTATTAATGCATTCATTGGTTGATTCTTGTATGTGCCCTCATTGAACTAACAACCTTGGCATAACGGGATGGGACTCAACCAACTGAATTGCCCAGCCAGGGCCTCTCCATCATTCTAAAAAAAACAGTTTTATTGAGATAGAATTCATACACCATACAATTCACCTATTTAAAACGTGCAAGTCAATGGTGTTTAATATATTTACAGATAAGTGCAACAATTACCACAGTCAATTTAGAACACTTCATCACTTTGAAAAGAAACCTTGTATCTTTTAGCTATCACTTCCCCATGAACTCCCAGCCCATCAAAGCTAAGAAACCACTAATATATTTTCTGTCTCAATGTATTTCCTTATTTTGGACATTTAATATTAAGAGTAACAATATGTGGCCTTTTGGACTGGCCTTTTAAAAATTCATTTTAGAGGAAAAGAGGAAGGGAGAGAAACATTTATTTGCTGTTCCACTTATTTATGCACTTATTGATTGATTCTATTATGTGCCCTGACTGGAATGGAACCTGAAAGCTTGGTGTATTGGAAGGATGCTCTAAGCAACTGAGCTACCTGGTCAGGGCCAATTTCACTCATTTTTAGAAACTAAGAAGGAATTATAGATACTACTATTTATTTTTTAAATTTCAGTACAGTTTGTATACAATATTATATTTGTTATATTAGTTTCAGGTGCACAATATAGTGATTTGACATTTTTATACCTTAAAGCGTGAGCATTCACTAATTCTAGTTACCATCTGTCACCCTGTAAACTTATCACAATATTATTGACTATTTTCCCCTTCACCTTCTTTACCTATCACCCCACTCCCTCCTTTCTGGTAAGAATCCTTTCGGTCTCTGTTTCTATGAGTCTGTTTTTGTTTTGCTTTGTTTGTTAATTTGTTTTAGATTCCACATGTAAATGAAACCATATAGTATTTTTCATTCTCTGTCTGATTTATTACCATTTTTATAACACATTCACTTATGCAATGTTAACTGAAACAGGAGCCTGAAAAAGTAAAAAAATAGAAAATAAACAAAAAACAAACAAATACCCCAAATTTTCCATTTCTCACTTTGCAGGTTAGTTTTGTTTTGTTTTGTTTTAAATCAGAAACTAAGGATAATTATGCTTGCATTTTATATTTAGTACCCTTTTAATTTAAACATGAAACAAGACACATTTTAAAAGGTGGCTATTATTCATTCTATTCAACAAAATGCAATAAAATATCAAGTTGTCAGACTTGAAATTAAATATAGGATCTCATTGTATTTGTTATTTTCTGAAGTACATTAGTTCTGTGAAGATATTGTACTACTTTGGAAATAATTGCAAGCTCTTGTTTTATAGTTTTATGATTAACTGTTGTACTTCCTATAGAGTCTTCCAATTTCCAGTTGTGTGTGTGAATATATAACACAGAATTTTGACTCTTGCATCATTTCCTACAGGCATCAAAACATTTATATGTGTGATCTGACAAATTTTAGGTGGATTGGTTTTATTTCCTACACAGTCAACTCTTTTTTTTATTTTATTGATTTTTTTACAGAGAGAAAGGGAGACGGATAGAGAGTTAGAAACATCAATGAGAGAAATATCAATCAGCTGCCTCCTGTACACTTCGCAGTGAGGATGTGCCCGCAACCAAGGTACATGCCCTTGACCAGAATCGAACCTGGGACCCTTCAGTCTGCAGGCCGACGCTCTATCCACTGAGCCAAACCCTACAGTCAACTCTTAATTACAAAACCTTTGCCTCATTGTTTTGGCAACATGGGGCTACTACAGACTGAAAAATAAAGTGTAAAAAGATAGGACTATAGAAAAATTGGTTCTAAGAAGGGTTCATGGTAGATATGTTGGCTTCAGAAACTGTTCCCTATTCTGTTTGATAAAATTCTTATGTAAAACCATTCCTTTATTCCAGGTTTGAATTTTTGAGCTTGCTATCATTACATCAAGGTTCTTTTTAACTTATCTTTGAGCATATAACAAGAAATTGACAGCAAGGAGTTAGGGACCAATCTTCTATTTCTTTCAGAAAACAAATTTGGAGTAACTCGACCCTTTTATAGTACACTGTAAACAAGTTTTCCCTGACAATGTCTTATACTACAAAGTGAGTACTTCAATTAAAAAATTTTCTGCCATCAAAGTTTCTATTAAGAATTTAGCCAACACTAATTAAAGGGTTTTATCCCATAAGATAAGAAAAAAAAGTTACAAAATTACGTAAAGTACCCTATTTATGAAAATTAGCTTTAGATGCATACATTTAAATGTGATTTTAATATTATCCTCATAATTTGGAGAGTGTTGCAAATATATCTGCTTTTTTGAATGATATTTTCTAAATTAATCAATTTATTTCTGTTACCTTTCATAGCATCCATGCCTCCCACAGCATAAAGTGCCCCCACAGTTGATTTTCTAGGCTTTGTCCGAGGGCTTTGCATCATAGGTCTTCTTTCAGGTAAGAGATGATACTTCATAGCTTCTATCAGAAGTTTCTGACATTCAAGATCACCAGTAAGTATGGAACTATTTTCAAGATCTGCCAGTAACTGGAAAGTAATGACACATGGTATATGAGGTGAAGAGCCCCCCATTAGAAAGGGCATATTTTTGTTTATATAACTTTGGAGAAAACTCAAGCTAATTCAAATGTAGATCTGTTATTATTTAACATTTTAACTTATTTAGTAACATATTTTATGTTCATTTATTATTTAAAATGATTTAAAGCTTCATGGTATTAGCTAATGATCTATGAAGACTTATTTGACATATTCATCTTTTAAGTATATATGCATATAATCTCAAGGAGTGAAAGAGCATTCATAAAATGTGTTATTGAAAAGCAATCAAAGAGAATGGCTTTGTATACACAAAGCAAGCATCTCTCAGTCTATGGCAGTGGTTCTTTCTCAACCTTCTGGCCCTTTAAATACAGTTCCTCATGTTGTGACCCAACCATAAAATTATTTTCGTTGCTACTTCATAACTGTAATGTTGCTACTGTTATGAATAGTAATGTAAATATCTGATATGTAGGACGGTCTTAGGTGACCCCTGTGAAAGGGTCGTTCGACCGCCAAAGGGGTCTCGACCCACAGGTTGAGAACCGCTGGTCTATATGGCATGTAGCTAGAGAAGCAGTCATGTTTTTGGTGGATTTAGGGGAGGTGGTACAAACATGTCCAGTTAAAATAAAATAATATTACCCATAGGAGGTTGCATCTTTATCATTAAATCACTTTTGTAAAGTATTCTGAAAGTAGGTCTTTTTAAAAAAGTATTTACATGTATATTTATAACATCAGTAAGGAACTTGTGTTAGTAATAGCTAGTACATTAGCACTATTAGGTGAGTAATACTTCTAAACATTACTCCCTGGCAGTCAATAAAACATTTATTGAATGGGATAAGAGCTAGGTAAATTATTTTCCTAAAATTAGTTGAGAAGTTAAGCTTTGTTTCAGAATTTTGCCAAGGGTTATTTAGATTAATTTCTTTGAGTTTTGGGTCCACAGTGTCATAGGGAGGAATAACAAGCAGATTGTTGGAATGGAGGTGCTAACCTCACTCCATAAAACTTCACAGAAGTTTCCTGTTCTGTACTGGTTAACCCTAGCTCTGTTCTCGCTCCACCTGTCATCGCTGATAGATCCTTGTTTTGACTTAGCTAGTGAAACCCCAGGCATTTCCTCAATTCATACATTTCTGAAAAAATGTTTGAAAACTGGGCTATATAGTTGTTGCTTTCAAAAAAATATTCTTCAGAGATTTATGACCATTTAAAAATATATTTAATTTCTAGGGTATTTGTTTAAGGACACTATTAAACTTGTTTTGGAAGTGTATATTCTGTATGCTATTGCCCACCACTACCATCATCAGGAAATGTTTCCAATGACCACATTTTAGGCATAAGGCCTACTCAGGGGCGGGAGGCCAAGGCACTGCTGGTTTTGTGTTTGGGCTGGAAATTTTCCCACGCCAATAAAGTAAGGGATGTTCAAACTAAGCATCTTGCTGAAAGAATATCATATAGACTTACAGCATTGTACAGTTAAAGGGTTCTGATCCTTTATACAAGTGCATCTTAAATTTTTGCATGTTTTAAAACCATCTGGAGAACTTGTTAAAACAGATTTCTGGGCATCACCCCCCAGAAATTATTTCGGTAGGTCTGTTGTAGGGACGTGAGTGACTGAGTTTCTAACAAGCTCCCGGGCAAGGCTATCTTTCTGGTCCAGGGACATTTTGAGCAGCACTGCTTTAGAGAATCAAATAGACCATATCATGAGAATAATACACACACAAGTATATATACATTCACAAGAATACATAAAATTTCTATAGTTTCTGAACCTTGGGTCTAACATGACATATATATTTTAATGTTTCTCTTTTTGATGTTACTATTGCCTTGCCCTTTGGATAATGTCACTATACCCAGGAGGGTAGTCAGTGTTTTTTCATTAAATACAGACAGATTCCTAAGAATAAATATGTAGTTCCATGAGATTTAATTAACAACTACAAGTTAACAAGCTAGAGAAACCATAAGTTCAACATTAACATTTGATTAGTAATTTTTTGAAAATAAATTAATTTTAATGTTTATGGAACTACTGCCTCACTTAGTATAGATAAGGTCCCTCTTTCCAAAGTGGATGATATTTGAGGACTTTAGCCACAGTCTATACAGTAAATGAAGTGTGTATATGTGTAACATATTCATGAATATATAATATGTAAATGATATACACTATCGGTCAATTTGCTACACAGAAATAATTGTGATTATCACCAATGGTAGAATTATGTAGAGAGAACTGCACTCTAACCTCATTAGATTTCACATACTAAAATTCAGTATGAGGTGGGTCAATCCTGAATCTTATCCAAGGGTGTTTGTTTTTAGAATGATTTCTACTACGAGCCTTTAGCACAAATGTGGAGATGTCATTAGTATAATATTGCTTTAGTGCATCTGATACTACTATATAGTACTCTTTTGATCCTTGTAGCTAATTATCCATGTTAGTAGAATCTCACTCCTTTCTACAATCCCCTCTGGTATGCTCTTGTACTGATTATTACCACCTTGCCTACAAGGTAGGCAGGGAAAGAAAAAGTTAGCCTTGTCACTTTTCCTGCTTGTTATAAGTTCTGTTTGGTGAGAGGAAACTAAAACTAATGAGGATGCTCATTAGAGAATAGGGATTATCTGTAGTTTTCAAAAATCTTTGTTTCCTCTCTCTTATCATTAATATTGCTGATTAAAGACTGGGTATGTCCTTCCGCCAAACAAATCCTGTACATTACAATTACCCAAATTCCTCTGAATAAAATAAAAGGGAAAAATCAAGAATAGATTAATGACAAGTGGTAGTTTGAACTATAATTATATTACTGGTCAATGTTCATACCTGTGGTGGAAGTAATGGCAGTCTGATGTAAGTAAGCAGCCTGGATAGGTCTTGTTGCCTAGCCTGCACATCATGCCCCACCCAGTCCATCAAAGCATGGAAAATGGTTTCTTCATCAGGCACGTTAATATCGTCACTGCACAGAAGTTTGGAGATTTCATTAGCTGGAAGCAGGAGGAATTCTTGGTTCTTTATTACATCGATGAAGTGTTCCTAGAAAAGAGAGATTGTCTACTGAAACTTTGTTCTTTAGAAACTTCTTTTTTAAAATATTTTTAAAAAATTTATTGATTTCAGAGAGGAAGAGAGAGGGAGAGACAGAAACATCAATGATGAGAATCATTGATCGGCTGCCTCCTGCACGCCCCCTACTGGGGATTGAGCCTGCAACCTGGGCATGTGCCCTTGGCCAGAATGGAACCTGGGACCCTTTAGTCCGCGGGCTGATGCTCTGTCCATGAGCCAAACCAGCTAAGGCTCTTTTTAAAAAAAATTTTTTTTGTAAAGACCATTATAAACTGATGAACAAAAATAGATACAGAGGCAAAGCAGCACTGAACAGATTGTCAAACTACAGCGGGAAGGCCGGGGAGGGTTGGGGGGGGCGGGTAAGAGATCAACCAGCTAAGGCTCTTTAGAAACTTCTTAACAAAATAAGCATATCAAAGAATTTCACTTTTCGAAACTTCACAAAAGGCACGCGCGCCTGTGTGTGTGTGTGTGTGTGTGTGTGTGTGTGTGTGTGTGAAAGAGAGAGAGAGAGAGAGAGAGAGAGAGAGAGAGAGAGAGAGAGATGCATTTATAACAAACAGGTGCTATTGCTTCCTATGGCAAGGGGCATGCAGGAGACTTCTGAAGTTGAGGAGCCAAATGCTTCTACTTGAAATTATTTAAGAAATCAGGAACGGCCCTAACCACTTCAGAGTTCATATGGACAGTATCCAAGTTGATAAGAGTGCTTTTCTCTTTCAGCTGTTGTAGGTCACAACAGCTTATAACTCCAGAAATGACTGATGTCACACTGGTCTGTTGGTCTTTAGCCAAAAAACCTTAAAAGAAAGGCTGAAAATTTTCAAGTTGGAGGCTTTTTTGGATGCTTGGGAGAAGTAGGTCTGTCTGTCAACACAGAAAACAACCCACTGAATTTCTTTGAGGTGAAACAAAAGATTGATGAAAAAATATTTTCTCCTATGGAAAAGCATAGTCATATATTTACCAAGGCAAAGGTATCTTTTAGAATGGATAACAATCTGCAGTTTCCAAATAATATAAAAGAGTCTCCCATGTTTTCTTTGGGGGGGGGAGGGGGGATGAAATTATCTTTCAATTTTTATATAATATGCCTCAATTTTCTCTTCTGTCAGTGTGTTGTCTTGTATTTTGTCAAGCATCAAATTTCAGGCAGCTGTGTTTCAATTTTCTTTTATTGAAACACCACTATATATTTTTCCGATTTATAATGTTATGTATTTTTCTTTAACAACACAATGATTGCTTTCAACATTTTATAGTAAAGGTCTCAATTTTTAAATGCAATAAAAAATGCTTCTGAAATGAAGATAAACATATCTAGTTGGTAATTTACATTTTACAATAAATAAATATTATTCTGGAAGCAGTTTAAGACAGCTTCTGAGTAACTGGGGGAACTGCATAAATCATATCACTTCTTCAGCTCCACTCTGAGTTTAATCATTGTGGAACTGAGTTAGCCTAATAGCAAACTTATCCATACAACAACTATCAAGTTTGACAGACCCATCAAGAAGCTCTGACACCATAAATGCAAGTTAACTTGCCTATTTAGACAAACTTCCCTCTTGTGACTAAGGCAAGCAATTCAGAGACTCAGGTCCTTACATGTAGCAGATGACCTTGTTTGAAAAGTCTTTAACCTATAGCAAAATAATGGAGCTAGTCCTACAACTAATACATTACACATGTATAACACTTCAAACTTAACGGATTTCTTTAAAAAATATTGTCATCACCAATGTGGTCTTGTGAGGAGTAGAATTATTCTGATAGGAAAACAGGCTGTGTGAATTGTTTGGTCTCCTGTGCAGTAAATGTCAAAGTATAGGCATATCTTGGAGATATTGCAGGTTCAATTACAGACCACCACAAAGAACTGAATATCACAATAAAGTGAGTCATTAAAAACTTTTTGGTTTCTCAGTGCATATAAAAGTTATATTAAACCACACTGTAGTCTATTAAGTATGCAATAGCATTATGTCTATAAAAACAATGTACATACCTTAATTAAAAATACTTCATTGCTAAAAGATGCTAATCATCATCTGAGCCTTCCTTGAGAAATAATATGTTTGCTGGTACAGGGTCTTGCCTTGATGTTGATGGCTGCTGATTGATCAGGCTGATAACTGCTAAAGGTTAAGTGGCTATGGAAATTTCTTAAAATAAGAAAACACTGAAGTTTGATGAATTAATTGATTCTTCTTTTTACAAATGGTTTTTCTGTAGCGTGCAATACTATTTGCTAGCAGTTTACCCACAGACTTTCCTTCAAAATTAGAATAATTTCTCTCAATCCCTGCTGCTGCTTCATCCACTAAGTTTATGTACTATTCTAAATCATTTGTTGTCACTTCAACATTTTTTAGTCTTCACAGCATCTTCACTAGTAGATTCCATCTCACAAAACCACTTTTCTTTTCTCATTCACAAGAAGCAACTCCTTGTTCATTGAAGTCTTGTCATAGGACTGCAGCAATTCAATCACATCTTCAGGCTCCACTTCTAATTCTAGTTCTCTTGCTTTTTCACCACTTCCCCAGTTACTTCCTCCAATGAAGTCTTGAACCCCTCGAAGTTATTCCATGAGGGTTGGAATCAACTTCTTCCAAACACTTAATTTGATAATTTGACTTCTTCCTATGAATTGGCTCATTGTGTAAAACCCACTCAATGGTTAATATGGATCAGATACAGTCAATAAAATTGAATTATGCCTCTGAGAAAGTTAAGAAATGATTAAAATGGTTTATATGATGGTCATATTTAAATATATCTAGAAATTAGATCTTTGATAGACTTTGTTATAGCTTCAGAGTGGCTGCCTGATGCGATCATTGAAAATAGCCTGGTGATATAGGTAATTAGTGTAAATAAAAAATAAATTTACTGGTTTGAATTATCTAGATGTGGCATTGGAATATACAGTATTATAGAGAACATTTAGTTAAGCTTAAATATTAATTTTATGTTGTTTTATTTTGGAATTATTTGCTCCTAATTTCAAGGTAAAACTTTCTTCTATGCTCATTCTTAAGAATATTTTTTGTACCTTTGGTTTGGTATTCATTTTTTAAAACCTACATTTACATTGTTGTAAATTTAGCATACTTGCTGAATGTTTCATCAATGTAGATTACTGTTTATATAATTATGGTGGTTAATTTTATGCATCAACTCTACTGAACCAGGGAATGTCTAGACTTTTGGCTGAATGTTCTGGATGTGTCTATGATGACATTTCTGGGTTGGGCCCATACACATTAGGAAGATTGATCTGTTTTACATATTCTGTGATTCAAACAACTGTAATTGAATCATTAAAATCACTTGTGTTTTTATACTATTAATAAAGTATTATAAAAGCATTATTATAACAAGAGCTTTACCAATTTTACTCTATTTATAATATATACTAAAATAGCTAAAGAAGAGGAATTAAAGAAGAGAACAATATTGTTTTTATGCACATCCTGCTTTAAAAATCACATAATAGGAAAAGGAAGAGAAGTTGATTTTGAGCAACAAAAATAATTCAAGCTGTTTATCAGCATGTGTCTTGTCTGCAAAAGTAAGATACCAGCCAGGAAGCTGCTAATACTTAATTCAAGAATTTAAGTAATTTAACAGGAAGTTTTCCATGTTTGGTTTTTAAGGTAGGATTAACCTTTAAACTACATAATTGCTGTTCTGATAAATTATGTGGTATCTATATTTAGGATATAGTAATATAAATAACATAACTAAATGACATATGTTAAAACACCAATCCATTATAATATAATTCTCCACATAATGCCATTGCTTCAGGAATATGTTTGAAACTTCATATTTCAAAGTTGACCAGAGATGGAAAGACGAAGGGGGAAATTTTACAATAATTTTTTAGAGAATTCAAATCTTAGAACTTTGGAAATTTTAAGGTCAGTATAAAACTCTAGAAAAATAATCTTCATTTATATGCATCTCATTCCTAAATTTTAATGTTAATTTTATCTTATTCTTAGGCATATTTTTCTCTACTGTTCACTTTTATGTACTTGCCTTTTAGTATTGAATCTTTGTTTATTTTTTTTTTACTGTGGCAATTTTCTTAGCTGTAAATATTTATTTTTTGATTGTTTGATTGTCACAGAAAGATCCATCTCTTATGTTGTTTCCTGCTCCAGAGGTTAAAAAGTTGATTTTCTTCTTTACATTAGGCAATTGGTATCCTGATAATGGTAAGAGTATGTTTACCATATGTCTACTTTTTCTTGCCTCACTACAGATGATCAATCTTTCATGTCACTTTCAATTGTCTGAATAAACATAGTCTCATCCCATGCAACTTTCAAAGAATTAGCATATAAGAATGTGTTTATTCAATTTATTATAATTACTAATAGAATTGAGAGGTGGTTTAAATTAACTAAGGGATTGGACTACAAATTGCTTTTAACCAAAATATGTTTTCGTTAAGACATAAAAAGTCCATACAATAGAATTGTCTGATTTACTTATTTTATAGTTCTTAAGCATTCCAATCAGTATTAATCCATTAATTTTTTTCTTTATTGAATATTTTCATTATAAATAATAATTTGCACAAACTTAAAAATTAAAGTTCTAATAGGGCAAAATATTAGGAAAATTATATTTTCTTAATAGTGTGGATTTGACTTGAAATATATACTTGTATAATTTAATTTGGGGCAATATTTTCATTTCTTCAGGATTTGAGATTCAAGTAAACCTTGTTTAGTTTCAAAAACGAGAAACTTGATTGAGTACAGCTCAACCAGACACATATTTTAATCTAATGTCTATTATTTGCAAGTCACTTGTAAATTATATGAATTTATATTGTCTTTTAATTTTATCCCACGCTAAAATATTTATGTGAAAAGTTTTATAAACACATAGGTATATATATTTATGTACACACATACATAAACATATCAGCAAAAATCAGTAACTTAGATATTGGGTTAATACATTACTATAAATTAGTTAGAATCAGTTGATTTTACCATTGTGTATTTATGTGCCACACTCAGGAGCTCTGTACAACCCTGGGCGTCTCCAAATGATCGAATCCCTAAGCAGTTTGAAGGATGGAGCTGCTTTATGAGAAAATTGGAGCAGACGTCAATAACTTGAGTCAGTTGCAGGAGACAAGCTGCAGCCAGCAAACTTTCGATAGTATCTTCTTTCAGTTGCAGGACACCTAGATGGTTTGAAAAAGTAAAGAATGATTATATGTCTCATAAAGTAGGACACAAATAAGCTAGCTAGTTGAAATTTTCACTTTCTCTCATTAGTGAGGCTGTATTTTCAAGAGTACAGCAACCATCGTTTAAAGCCAACATATACAAGAGAGTTTGTATAAACTCTAATAAGATGGCTGACAGAGGCTAGGCTAGATTATCAAAAACCACTGTAGCGAATGAACATTGAATACTATCATTGCAAAGAAGAGCAACTTATTTCTTTATCTTAGTCCTGCATCTAAATCTTAAATAAAAAACTGTTCATATTATGACTTAAGGAGTATAATGCAATCTTGTATAAGGGTAATACAATTGGCCATTATAGGTATCTGTCACTTGTGGGAAAAACATCTTGGTACATAAGAACATTGAGCTTATGTGCCATTTTGTCATATGTATTTATTAGCTAAGAAGGATGACTTGGCTTAAATATTATGCCTGGGATTGATACCTGATACTGTCTCAAAAAAAAAAAAAAGAGAGAAAATGTCGCCAACAATCCTTAAAATAAGAATTGCTTTGCTTATATTATTATTTCGTTAGGTATAAGAAATAGGCTCTATTTTTAAAATATCTATAAAGAATCTTTAAAAATGAAATCAGAGAAATTAAACTGTTTCATTTATATTGATATATCTGTATTATTTTGGAGCAAATATTATATGAATTATTACAAATGTTATGTTATTTTGATAAGTTAAATTTCCACTTTTTTGCTTAAACCAAGCTATAGGTAAGTAATAAATAATGATATTTCATATGGATTTTATAAATTGTATAAACTGGCCTTGTAAAATACTTTAATATTGTTTCTATATGTTGCAAAACCATAAAGAAAAGAGTAATACATACCATGAGATGCTTTATATTTGGTTTACCCTCTAAAATATGTTACAAAGGGGTCCAGTCCATCAGCAGATTGTCTTGTGTTGTTTCTTGTCCTGGATTTTGAAGGAAGAGCCCTGCCTATAGTTCATGAGACCCAGAGAAGTATGAACTATTCTGTTTCAGACCTAAAGATTCACCTGCTATAGACATTGAAATCTGGCCTAGATATTAGGATATTGATTTCTAAATAAGTGAAACTCTTAGAAGAAAGCATAACAAAAAAGCTCCTTGACAGTGGAGTTGGCAATAATTTATTAGATAAGACACCAAAGCATAAGCAAAAAAGCTAAAATAAACAAAAGGAACTACACAGCAAAGAGAACAAAAAATAAACTGAAAAAGCAACTGATAGAATGAGGTAAACTATTTGCAAAACATATACATGAGATGGGGTTAATGTCCAAAATATGTAAAGGACTTATACATTTCAATAACACAAAATCAATCCAATTAAAAAATGGGCAAAAGACATGAATTGACATTTTTTTTCAAAGAAGACATACACATTGCCAATAGGAACATGAAAAAGTGCTGGACATCACTAGTGATCAGGGAAATGCAAACCAAAACTACAATGAGATATCACCTCACACCTGTTAGGATGACTAATATTAAAAACAGAAGGGATACCAACATTGGTGAGGCTTTGGATAAAAGGGAATCGTGTATTGTTTCTGGGAATTTAAATTGATACATCCATTATTGAAAACACTAAGAAGGTTCCTAAAATATTTTAAAAAACAGAACTATGTATGATCCAGAAACCTCACCCCTGGGTAAATATCTAAAGGAAAGGAAATTGGATCTTGAAGACATATCTGCACTCTGATGTTCATTGCAACATTGTTCACAAGAGCCAAGGTATGGAAACAACCCATCTTTTGACAGATGAATTGATAAAGAAAATGTGTATATATGTAAATAGGTTTATATATATATATAATGGAATATTATTCATCTATGAGAAATATGGAAATATTGCCATTTGTGACAATATGGATGAACTGGAGGACATTATGTTAAGTGAAATTAGCCAGACACAAAAAGTATAGTATCACTTGTATGTGGAATAAAAAAAAATGCTGATTTCATAGAAAAAGCAAGTAAATTGGTTGGTGCCAAGGGGTGAGAGTTAGACAAGGTAAATGTAGGTTAAATGATACAAACTTTCAGTTATAAAAGTTCTGGGGATCTAATGCACAATGTAGTGACTGTAGTTTATGCTGAGAGTGAATCTTAGGTGTCTTCACCACACACAAAAAGAGTTAACTATTTGAGATGATGTATGCATTAAATATCTCAATCTTCGTAATCATATATACCTCAAATCATCACACTGTAAAGTGACAAATTTAAATATATACAATTTGTCAATTATTCCTCAATAAAGTTAGAATGAATGAATGAATGACTATATACATAGATAAACATACATACATATATACATACATACTATTTGGCCCCAAAACACATCCTGTTATATCTGTTTTATAATTTGAGTAAACATAACTTAAATATTTCAAATGAAGAGATTGTACATATTTCAAATGTACAGTTAAAAATATCCGACTTCTAGTCTCATTTTTATAAATGAGAGTATACCCATATTGTGAGAGAGGAGAGAGAGAGAGAGAGAGAGAGAGAGAGAGAGAGAGAGCGCTCTATTCTCTTATGGTCATATTTTTAATATAATATTTCTTATCTCTTGCTCTTTTATTAATATATTGAATTTAAATCCTGATTCTGCCCCTTATTACTTTAGAAAAGTTACTTAAGTAGTCTATTCTTAATTTTTAACTTGTAGAATAGGAATAATAATAATGTGAGTTATATAATATTGTATTATTGTAAGGATTAATTGAGTTAATATATGCCAAGTATTTACCTGTGTAAGCATACTGCACCAAGGAATTAAGTGCATTAGGATCAACTCCTTCCATCTTGACCTCTTCTTGTTTGGCTTCAAGCAAATCATTAGTAAACATTGCAGCAAAATAATCAGACATGGCACTGAGAACCAACCTGGAAATAAGAAGGTTTCGTAAGAAAATAAATCAGTCCATGATCTTATTGAAAAACATGAAATGCAGTCAGAAAGTTTTTAACACTGGTGAGACTTTTTTTTCTATAAAACTTTCACAGTTCAGTAAAGCTAATGAAATTAGAAAGGCAAATAGTAACTTGATATTCTTTTAAAGGATTTGTGTTTTTCTTCATCAATTTTTCAAGTTTGGATCTTCTAAATATCCCACAGGGAAGTGAATAATATACGGTAAAGCTTTTGAAAAAAAAAGTATCTTTATTGTTGAAAGTATTACAGATGTGCCCCTTTTTTCCCATTGACCCCCTTCACCTAGCACCTACCCCTCCCAGGCCTTCACCACACTATTGCCTGTGTCCATGAGCTATGTATAAATGCATATTAAGTTTCCCAGGTAACCTGTCCCCACCCACACCCCCCCGCACCTTCCCTCTGAGATGCCTCAACCTGTTCCATGCTTCTGTCTCTGGATCTATTTTGTTCATCAGTTAAGTTTGTTCATTAGATTCTACATATGAGTGAGATCATGTGATGCTTATCTTTCTCTGACTGGTTTATTTCACTTAGCATAATAGTCTCCAGATCCCTCCATGCTGTCTCAAAGGGTAAGATATTCTTCTTTTGGACAGCTGCATAATATTCCATGCTGTAGATGTACCACAGATTTTTTATCAACTCATATACTGATAGGCACTTGGGCTGTTCCCAAATCTTAGCTATTGTAAATTGTGCTGCTATGAACATAGGGGTGCATATATTCTTTCTCATTGGTGTTTTGGGTTTCTTAGGAAATGTTCCTAGAAGTGGGATTACTAGGTCAAATAGCAGTTCCTTTTTTAACTTTTTTTTAATTTCATAGAGGGAGGGAGAGGAGAGAGAGATAGAAACATCAATGATGAGAGAGAATCATTGATCGGCTGCCTCCTGCATGCCCCCTACTGGGGATCAAGCCCATGACTGGGGCATGTGTCCTTGACTGGAATCAATCCCAGGACCCTTCAGTTCGCAGGCCAACGCTCTATCCACTGAGCCAAACCAACTAGGGCCCTTTTTTTTAACTTTTTGATGAAACTCCATACTGTTTTCCATAGTGGCTACACCAGTCTTCAATCCCACAAGCAACCCTCTCATTCAACATAGTACTGGAAATCTTAGCCACAGTGATTAGACAAGAAGAAAAAATAAAAAGCATCCAAATTTGAAAGGAAGAAGTAAAGCTGTCATTATCGCAGATGAGATGATACTGTACATAGAAAATCCTAGAGTCCGCCAAAAAACTACTGGATTTAATAAATGAGTTCAGCAATGAAGCAGGATACAATGCAAAATTAGCAGTATACAATATTAACACCCAGAAATTGTCATTTTTATACACCAATAATGAACTCTCAGAAAGAGAAACTAAAAAAAAGCAATTCCATTTACCATTGCAACAAAAAAATAAGTCATTTAGGAATAAAATTAACTAAGGAGGCAAAAGACCTATACTTGGAAATTTATAGGGTGTTGAAAAAAGAGAGAAAGGAAAATATAAACCAGTGGTCATGGATTTATAGAATCAACATCATTAAAATGTCCATACTACCCAAAGCAATCTATAAGTTCAATGCAATCCCCATTAAAATACCAATGGCATATTTCACAGATCTAGAACACACACTCCAAAAATCTGTATGGAATGCAAAAAGACGCTAAATAGCTGCAGCATTCCTGAGAAAGAACATAGTTGGAGGGATTGCAATACCAGATAGCAATTTATACTACAGAGCCACTGCAATCAAAACAGCCTGATACTGGCACAGGAACAGGCATACAGATCAATGGAACAGAACAAAGACCCCAGAAATGGACCCAAACCATTATGCTCAATTAATATTTGACAAAGGAGGCGAGAACATAAAATGGAGTAAAGATAGTCTTTTCAATAACTGGTGTTGAGGGAATTGAATAGATATGTGCAAAAAATGAAACTAAACCACCAATTTACACCATACATAAGAATAAATTTAAAATTGATAAAATGACTTAAATGTAATTCATGAAACCAAAAAATCTTAGAAGAAACCATAGGCAGCAAAAGCTCGGACATCTCTCATAGCAATATATTTGCCAATACATCTCCTAGGGCCGTGGTCGGCAAACTGCAGCTCGCGAGCCACATGTGGCTCTTTGGCCCCTTGAGTGTGGCTCTTCCACAAAATACTGACTTCTGCGCATGGGTCACGAAGTTTCAACTCCCCCCCACCCCACTCATGCTCTCATCCCCCTGTTGTCTGTGTCCATTGGTTTGGCTTATAAGTATGCATACAAGTCCTTTGGTTGATCTCTCCCCCTTACCCCCACCCTCCCCTACCTTCCCTCTAAGATTTGAGCATCTGATCAATGCTTCCCTGTCTCTAGATCTGTTTTTGTTCATCGGTTTATGTTGTTCATTATAATCCACAAATGGGTGAGATCATGTGATATTTCTCTTTCTCTGACTGATTTATTTCACTTAGCATAATGCTCTCCAGCTCCTTCCATGCTGTTGCAAATGGTAGGATTTATAGGATGATAAAAATCGATTTTCCTGTGTTCCAATTTGTAATCAATGAGCTGATTCTTTTTCATTCGTGCTTGTTCATTCATACTCTAATCACCAAATGTTCTGTCTGCCTAAGGATACTTACCGATGAGCTGGGATTCGGAGGTGTCCAACAATGAGGAACACATCACAGAGTTGTTTCTCTTTCAGGTAGTTCTGCATTTTATGGAGCGTTTTCTCTGCATGGTTTACAGCATGGAACTCCTCCTCAGGTATGCTGAGATTCATTTCTTCAGGATGTTGTGTATGTAATCTGAAAGGGGGATAAGAGTGAGAATATGGTTTATTCTCCTAGTGAGTGTGCTAATGTACAGTGGAAATTTGGGCACATCAACTTCTAAAAGAAACATTTTGGAGTACAGTAAACTAAACTTTTCACTCTGATTCTCAATAATTTACTATGATTGTTGCCTAATCTTCCATTCAAGTAAAGTGTGATGGTGTTTATATCAGGAATTGAACCATACTATGTATGGTGCAGCTGCAGGGCTAGTATTAATTGTCATATACACAAGCATCAACTTCAAAATGCTAGCATATATCTTTAATTTTTGTTGGTATTACAATAATGACATTAGGCATGATATTGTAGGCAGGATTCACAATATTTTTCAGATTTGATTATAACCTGAAGCTTCTTCATGGTGTACTCGTTAAAAATTAGAAGTATTTCTTGTATAATCTTAAGCTTTAGAGTTTCATGACATTCTTTATAATATGTCAAACCTCTCAAGAAAATATACATATTTCCATCTTTTATATTTCTTTACCAGCATAATTGATATATAATTAATATATAACAGCATGTAAGTTTATTTTACTTTTTATATACCCTTTTTTAATCCTCATGTGAGGACATGCTGAGAGAGAGAGAGAGAGAGAGAGAGAGAGAGAGAGACTGATGTGATAGAAACATTCACTGATTGTCTTCTATAGGTGCCCCAACTGGGAATCGAATCAAAAAGCCAGATATGTGCCCTGACCAGAAATCAAACCAACAACCTATTGGTGCACAAGATGATGGTCAGCCAACTGAGCCACTCTGGCTGGGCAACATTGTGTAAGTTTAAGGTATACAACATGATGATTTCATATGCCTAAATAGTGTGAAATGATTACCACAATGAGATTAAAATATCCATAACCTCACATAATTACCATTTTGTGTACGCATGGTAAGAACATTTAAATTCAACTCTTATAGCAATTTTCAAGTATATAATACAGTACTACTAACTAGTCACAATTCTGTATATTGGAATCCCCCAAATTAAGTTATCCATCTTCTAACTGGAACTTTGTATCCTTTGACTATTTAGAACAATAGGATAACTGTTGATTTTACAACATTGAAATATGTTGATGTGTCTTTTCAACATCACAAAATGGTAGATTTAAATACTAACACAAGCACATAGAAATTTACAACCAGTGGAATCTTAGAAATTTGACGGTTGGGTGAGCATGCTTACATACTTTGCTTGAAACCTTTCTGGCTTCCATGCATCATTTTCCAACCACCAGACAGGATTAGTTTTAGGTTCCTTCGCCAACAACTTGGCCTGTGTTGTTGCTTGTTGTTTTTTTAAGACAATTGGTCCAGGGTGGCATTATTCTTTTTTACTTTTTAATTCAAATAAAAAATTCACCTCTGAATCTTCTTAACCTTTAAAGACTCTGAGATATTCAGCCACAATATTGGTTGGCTAATCAGGGTAGGATGATATAAATTTTCTTTAAAATTACCTGCTACAAAATGCACTTGTTTATTTTCTATGTCTCTCCCTTTTTGTGCTATCTGTCCCTTATTTCCAGTTCCTCAAATGCCCTATGTCTTCACACTGCTCCATGGTGACCCAAGATCCCCTACTTTGACCCTCTCCATCAAATAAGAAGGGCCCTGGACTTCCCTATGAACTAAAATTTGCCCTGCTCTGTCTCCTGCTCGTCATAATACTCAGCCCTCAAATGGTTCCATGGATCTGGAAGTACACTGGAGAGGTTAAGAACTTACAACAGCATGAATTAGTTACCTCTTGTAAGAAGTTCAGTATTTTAACAAAAAATAACTAAATCCAAAAGTTTGTACCTCTAATGGTGTTAGATTTGTCAGGCACACCAGAAAGCTAGGGATGAGATTTTCCCTTTTAAAGCCAAATAACTTAAATCAACAAAAGAGAAGTGCTGGTGAGGATGTGGAGCAAAAGGAACCCTCATGCACTGCTGGTGGGAATGCAGACTGGTGCAGCCACTGTGGAGAACAGTATGGCGTTTCCTCAAAAAACTAAAAATGGATCTCCCATTTGACTCAGTGACCCTACTTCCGGTAAAAAAGAAGGAATTCTTACCTTTTACAACAGCATGGATGGAACTGGAGAGCATTATGCTAAATGAAATAAGCCAGTCACAGAAAGATAAATATCACATGATCTCACTCATTTAGGGAAAATAATGAACAACATAAACTGATGAACAAAAACAGATCCAGAGATAGAGAAGCATCGATCAGACCGTCAAACCTCAGAGGGAAGGTAGGGGAGGGTAGGAGTAAGGGGGAGAGATCAACCAAAGGACTTGTATGCATGCATATAAGCATAACCAATGGATATAGACACCAGAGGGGTGAGGGCATGAGTGGGGGTGTGGGGGACAATGGGGGGATAAGGACACATATGTAATACCTTAATCAATAAAGAAAAAAAAATAAAAGTCCGAAAGACTGAGAAAAAAAAAGCCAAATAACTTAAAATAAAAACATGAGTCCCAGTGCAGGCTCTGCTGCTAGTTGACTATGTGATTTTGTACAAGTCAAATATTTTCTATGAGCATAGGTTTTCCTTTCTTAAAAACTGAATGGACTCCAGATCTTACAGCCCAAGTGCCCATCAGTAGATGAGTGTATAAAAAGCTGTGGTACATTTACACAATGGAATACTATGCAGCTGTCCAAAAGAAGGATCACTTACCCTTTGAGACAGCTTGGAGAGACCTGGAGAGCATTATGCTAAGTAAAATAAGACAGTCAGAGAAATATGGAAGAAGTCTTTGAAAAAAAGCTCAGCATAAAGATTTGAGGTCTTCTCGGGTCTTTTCTGGGTATGGATCTCTGTGGGCTTACATGTGTGCTTTACCCCACTATCTTTCATATACATGGCTGGAGATTATATATATATATATATATTTTTTTAAATTTCTTTAAATCTCACTTCTATTTCTCCTGTGATCTCTAGATATTCTATTGTATACCTTTACCCATACTATTTTGTCTCCAGATGTTTACAAGTCTGCATTTCCATTGCAATTTTCATGTGTTTGATGCCTGCCATTGGATTCTGTGGCTTCCAATCTGAGATACAAACTATACTACCATTCTCATCTGAGCTCTAAGTTAGGTAAACCAATGGTGTCCCTCCCTTATCAGCAGGGGATACAGTCCAACATCCCCAGTGGATGCCAGAAACTGTGGATAGTAGCAAAACCTATACATACTATTTTTCCTATACATACATACATACCTATTTTAAATTTAATTTTAAACTAGGTACAGTAATAAATAAACAACAAAAATTAATAGTAAATTATAACAGTAAACTTTAATAAAAGTTATGTGAATATGAACTCTCTCTGTGTCCCAAAATGTATTATTGTACTGCACTCATCCTTCTTTTTCTTGTGCTGATATGAGATGGTAAAATGCCAAACTTATTCATGAATCTGCATAGCCTTTCCTTACTTACAGTAAATGGCTTGATATCCCTTGTTTTAAGGCAGTGGTTGGCAAACTGCGGCTCACGAGCCACATGCGGCTCTTTGGCCCCTTGAGTGTGGCTCTTCCACAAAATACCGACTTCTGTGCATGGGCCACGAAGTTTCAATCGCATTGTACATGCACTCCCGCACGTGGTATTTTGTGGAAGAGCCACACTCAAGGGGCCAAAGACCCACATGTGGCTCGCGAGCCGCAGTTTGCCGACCACTGTTTTAAGGGATCCTCTGCTGAATTCTTTGCATAGGATCAATACTTCCTGCCATCATAGGTTGCTGTTAATCACAACACATTTTCTGTTCATGTCTTCCACCCATTTAATTTTCCATTTTAACTTAGTACTTATCATGCAGTGTCTGTGGCCTTAACTTTTGTAGTTAGAGGTATAATAGCCAACTAGCATAACCTTATTTTTCTTTTTTAACAATTTCATTGATAGAGCATTTGTTCTTATAGATCTTAGCAACCTCATTATACCATTTGTCCTTTTCTCAGTAAGTTGAGAATTTTCACATTTTTACTTAAAGAAAACATTATGTGGCTTCTCTTTAGCATATCTAAACTACCAGCGTCATTACTCTTGCTCTTTGAGTCCATTATTAAGTAAAATAAGAGTACCTTGGTCACAAGCACTGCAATACCACAACAGTCAATCTGATAACTGAACAGGCTACTAAGTGACTAATAGGCAGGCAGTGTATACAGTGTGGATTCATTAGACAAAGGGACAATTCATGTTCTGGAGTGGAATGACATGAGATTTCAAAACACTACTCAGAATAGTGTGCAATTTAAAACTACTTAACTGTTTATTTTGGGAATTTTCCCATTTAATATTTTTGGACCGTAGTTGACTGTGGGTAACTGAAACCACAGAAAGCAAACCTATGGATAAGGAAGGCTACTGTACTGAAATCAGTTTCTTGACTAACCCACAGTGAGACCAGAAAATGTTTCAAACAAGCTCCACTTTTTCCCTTGTATCCTGAAGAGAAACTAAAAAGTAAGTTGCCTTCCACCCAATATGCCATGTCACCCTTGGATGGGGATGGTACAAGAGCAAGCATAAATGCTATGAAATTTCCTCCCAATTTGAATGTGGCTTTTTCTTGGTCGGTCATTTGCTTGGTTGTTGTATATGTTTCCAGAACTCTCACAAAGTTATTTTAATCAGTCTGTAGTTGTTTATTTGATGTTCCCATGGAGGAATGAGGGTCTGGAGCTTCTTAATCTGCCCTTGTGCTGACATAGCAGAAGCTACTGTTGTCTTGATTTATTTAATTTTAAATAAAATATTTGAGGTTCCTGTGTTTTTCTGAGTAGTAGTTTTGCTGCAAAACTATTTTGTAACAATTTTACTTTGAGAAAGAATAGAAGGCATTATCTCAATAAATTGGTGAGATTATTAATTTTAACAGCCTCTTTGGAAGGCTAGTTGGCAATATAATACTGAGTTATGCATACATGCACATAAATTCTTTAGTTAA